CAGTAAACCTACCGCAACCGGTCAAAAATGACCGTTTTCAAATTTTTCTGTGCAATCCTTACATACAATATATAAATTAAATGTGATTGTTTCATATATTATTCAATTTGGTACCAGGTGAAATATTTTTGTATTTAATTGAAAAATGTGTGTTTAAGGCGGCGCGCTATTTGTGTTTCTCGCCATGGGGCGGCACGCTGGTAAACGCCATCTGATAGACACACGAGTGTGCGCCACCGGTGGTACACGCCGGTGTGAAGGTGTTAAATTATTTTCGGACGGTAAATTATTAACATTTCTGAGTCAACATATTCTGTCTATAATGAACCATTAAAACACGTACATTATATTAAAGTACTATTTCCGTACATGCAGTTATCTTCAAAAAACTGAAACGCGAGCACGAGTCACCGGTGGGACACACTGCGCCGGCGTTGAACGTGTTAATTCCAAGTTCCGAAATGTTCAAATATGTTCGTATCAGGATTCTCTAATTAATTTTGGATTTATGCGGTTGGCTGCAGTGGTCTATGCGTCTTCTGTTTGTTTTTTCTTTACTAACTTGTAACCAGGTTCAGAATGTGTACAAGCCCACAATGGCAACATGCGTGTTTCCAATTCCTTTTTTTTTACTTATAATTAATACGTATTTTATTTATTTCTTTTATTCGCGTCAATAAATCTTAATAATAAAAGATGAGTTTATTTTCATTGATTCTAACACAAAAGAATCCTTTGAACAGTTACTTTATACAGAATTTTTGAAAATACCTTCCCGTTTAGGCCAGTTACGACGCTGTGTCCCCTTAAGTCCCTTCTACGAAACATTAAAGCGTCAAAATTATTTCAATATCCTTTAAGTTGTTTTATCTATAGCGTACCATCGCTAAAGCTATATCGATCTGAACCATGACCTAGACTCCAGACTCTAGACGCATAGAACCGATCGTTCGGAGCGTCTGCTTCATACGTGACGAACGATGAAAGCAGGGAAAAAAGTAAAAAAAAAAAAAAGGAACGAAGGACTCCTAAAATAATATCGTAAACCACGAACGACAGCGCGTCTCGTCTACGCACGCTTATGCGTGCCCGTACATATATTATGAACACGTTATAGGACGTGGAAGTCTATTTCGAACCGAAACACATTCTGTATCCAGCCGCTTGCAACACGCGGGCTTTTGATACAGCCACGATATACGTATACGAGAGAACTGCATCCCCCTGAAGCTGGCCAGTGACTCTCATACGTGTAAAGAAGCAGGGTGTGTAAATTTAGATCTAGAGATGGCAGCTGAGTTTTGTGAAAATAATGTATAACTAATAAATATACCAATAACTGTTAGAGAAGTAAAGTAAATTTAAAGTTTCGCGCCACTATTCTCTAGAGAGCGTTTATGGGAAAGGGAGCGTTCTTCCTTTTTAGTTCCGTTTCTTTTTTTCCGGCACGTATTCAGGATGATCTCGCAGTGGAAGCAGCGTTCATTTTAATACTATTTTATATTTCTAAAAAAACTCTTTGTTCTTTTGTGATATAATTTATTTTCCTTTATGTTACGGATACATTCTATATCGCATGATTTATAAAATAAATATTAATAATATATTTCTAAGAATAACATAATACGATAATCTACCAACTGAACTTAAAATGTAGCGAGCAAAAAACTACGAAGACAAAATACAATAATGTACAAAGTGTCCCAGAGTTAGTGTAAGAAGCGGAAACGGGGGGTAGCTGAGACGATTTTTAATCACAATTTCCTTTGCATGTTCCTCCGTTTGTGTGCAAAATTTTAAACTGCACAAGAAAAATTGAGCGGAAATGTGAGAATACGGTTCGAAGTATTTGTATACCAACAAGTATTTCGTTAGCTTCCTCACCAGTAATTACATTATTTTGGCCCGCGTAAAATAAATTATCAGCCGAAGGTTTAATATCAACTTTGAGAACCGTTAAGACATTCAGGAAACAGTTATTTCCACGTATTAGACATTTCAATTTATTCCTCTATATTCTAGTGTAATAATGTGCTTTCGTATGGCGCGATCAATCATTCTATAAGACAATCTTGAACAACGCCAGGGAGATTAACGCCGTCTCTTGGAAGACACTTATTTCTAGCTCGGAGTCTCACAACGAAAATATTTACACTCGTGCTGATAGATGACTAATAAACACTTCACCCTGTCGGCCTGACCGCACTCAAGGCACAAGTTAAATTTACTATTGACGGCTTTCTAAATGGCGCGCATTAATGAAACACGCTTCCTCTCGCCCTCGTCGTAAAATTCTCACAACTGATCACTTCAGGCATCTCGGGCTAAAATAAAGATCAACTCTTTATTGAAAGATAAATTCAATGATCTTACTGCCCCTTCGGTTATCGTTAACACTAAACGTATTGACATTTTTCATATACCTACATTAGCAGAGGGGGTCAGTTGACCCCGTGTTAAATAAATGTTGATTTTTAGACAAAAATTTTCAATTTATTAAAGGAAATAATTTACGACACAACGTAGCAGATTTTACAAAAATATTTCACTCCATATTTTTGACTCCCTTTTTGCTCAAAGAATCGTCCTTGCATGGTTGAACTATGATCCAGTGA